TGAGCAGAGTTCCCTGTGCTATACAGTATCATAGGGGCAGAGCATTTTTTTTTTTTTTTTTTTTTTTTTTTTTTGGGTATGCGGGCCTCTCACTGTTGTGGGGTCTCCCAGTGCAGTGCACAGGCTCCGGACGCGCAGGCTCAGCGGCCATGGCTCACGGGCCCAGCCGCTCCGCGGCATGTGGGATCTTCCCGGACCGGGGCACGAACCCGTGTCCCCTGCATCGGCAGGCGGACTCTCAACCACTGCGCCACCAGGGAAGCCCGGGGCAGAGCATTTTTAAAGGCCAGGCGAGGGCGGGGCGCCCCAGGGTCTGTGATCAGCTTGTCCACAGTTCTCTGATTGGTTGATGGTGAGATAACAGAGCAGTATCACAGGGAATTAACCTTATCAATCCTTAGGCGCCAGAAGGTCTGGGGGCTGCATACTTGTGATTATCCAATTAATTTCTTCCATTTGGTGGTGGTGTTAGCATCTGAAAAACTCAGGAAATGTGCATCAGATACTATTACCCAGGTACTTCAGAGAGGAGCTACAGCAGAGGATATCAGGGAGAGGTCTGTCTGGGAAAGGCCCCGTAGGGTTCTGCTCGCTCCAGAATGCCCCCCAGGGCAGTGTCCTTCTCCGCAACCCTCCAGCAGCATCAGTGCTCTAGGTGTTTGAACCTATGAGTGGGGAACAGCAAGGGGTAGGGGCGCTTCCTGATGCGGCTGCTGTGAAGACAGTCTGGCTCTTCCTCCAAAAGTGAAGCAGAGTTACCACGTGGCCCAGCTGGGTACATCCCCAAAAGACTGAAAACAGGAACCCAGACAAACACTTCTACGTGAGTGCTCCTGGCAACGTTATTCACATGGTTGAAAGGGAGAAACAGCCCCGAAGTCCATCCATGGGGGAAGGGACAAGCAGATGTGGTCCAGCCATAGGACGGAGCATTGCTGAGCCACAAACAGGAATGAAGGACCGCTATGTGCCGCCGTGTGGCTGAGTCTCAAAAACATGACACTGCGTGTAAGAAACCAGGCCCCAAAGGCCACATGTCATAGGATTCCGTTTCTATGAAATACCCAGAATAGGGAGATCCGAGGACGCCACTCACTAGAGTAAATCCCCTCTCGGAGCTTCAGTCTCCTGATGAGGGGGTGGGAAGGGGAAAGGAGGGGCCTCAGCGCCGAGCCTAGTGGGCACCGGACCTGGGGTCCCAGGTTCCACGGGAGGCACGAGGACCCTGCAGGTAGAGCCGGCTCCCTGGGGACCCTGGCTCAGCGGCCAGTCCCTGGAGAAGAGGGGCAAGGGATGCCAGGAATCAGCCTGGGCTCCTTACCCTTAGGATTTCCCAAACTCGGCAGCCCCCCAGCCTGCCCCCCGGGCAGGAAGTGAGGAATCACCTCTGGGCGTAAGAGCAGCGGCAGCCCCAGGGCTGAGGACAGAGGTAGGAAGCAGTGTGGCCAGGCCGACCGGCAACCGAGGCCTCCTTCCCACCAACCTGCCGGCCCAGCAGGACGAGGCCCCCATCCACCTCCCAGGGCAGCAGGGAGACAGACAGACAGACAGAGGAAAGATTAGCCTCCCTGTGCCCTTCGCCCCCACCTCCTTCCTCAAGTTCCTCTCTGAGCGCAGCTCTGAAGGTCTTTGCACCAGAAATAGCAAGGATTTCACTCATGCCCTAAATCTGGGGACAGGGTGTGGGAAAGTCCAGTCGGACAGAAATTGTGAGGAAAACAACCCATATCAAGGAGTTAAATCAAAGCAGAAGAGTTTGCTCTCTCCATGTTTCCACTGTTCTGGAAAGAACAAAATGCATATGCGCGTATAAACTGCAGAATAGAAATGGTTCTATCTCAGTGATTTCACACGTGAGTTAAACGCACAGATATTTGCACTTCAAGCTGAGTGATATAAAGGTGAATGGTAAAATACATGTTAATAAATGAAAATTTTAATTCTCCTTTACTCAGAAGAACTGTAATCAGCTAGTAACTTGTCACTGGGGAATGGACAGCCCGGGGGTCGGAGCTGGGGACTGAGAGCCAGCTGTGCCCAGGGCGAAGCTTCCTGCAGGGCTATGGGGGCCTCTGGGGGTCGGGGCGAGAACAGAGGCAGAACGGAGGGGGCTGCACGTTGGCTGGGACTTGCTCTGCAGGGTCCGTGGACGTGGGCATCAGTGTCAACCAGTCCACACTGTAGGCTTTGTGCATGTTTCGCTCTGAATCAAAATCCGTGCTCACCCAGTTTTTCAGGATTGGTCTGCCTGTGGTATGCCGGGCGGCTGCCGAGTGACAGAGAACAGGGGTTGCTTTCTGGTCAAGACCACAGAGTTCTGGACAAAAGCACAGCCCACTTCTGGAGGTGGATGGAGAAGGGCCTTCCTGGGGAGGGGACTGAGGACCTCAGCCTCACACACAGACATTTGGAGAGGAAGTTCTGGAACACTGGGATGGAGGGACAGACATACATAAACAAACACATGTGCATACACGTGCACACGTAGCTTGCTTTCCTGCTGTTCTGTTTTATGGGCTCTTTTCTCCACCCCAGCGAGGTTGGATCTGGGGGCTTTTGCCCATAGACGGACCTGTGTCTTCATTCCACCGGCAGGAGCTCACAGGGGCCCTGCTATGTGCTGGATGATAACAGACAGGATAATAAATAAATAAATAAGACAGGAGTCCCTGCCTCATGGGATTCATGTCCAGGGGGCATGGAGGAAAACTCAGCACTGTGAAGGGAAGTGGCCAGCGCGCTGAGTGCAGGCGAGGGGCAGCCTCCACCAGGCACATCAGGAAAAGGCCCATGAGCGGCTCCTAAAAGAAGGGCGGGAGTTTCCAAAGGAAGGGCGCTCCAAACAGAGATCGCTGCACGTGCAAAGGCGTGGAGTCAGCTGCCATCCGCCACATTTGGGAGACTTAGATGACTGCGCGTTGCTAAGGCTTAGGTTCGGACTTGAGCTGGAGAGGCCAGGGGTCGGTTCTTCCCAAGCCACAGAGGGACCCTGGCTTCGTGTGGAGGCCATCAGGGTTACATGCAGGAGGAACTTGGTGCCTCCTCTAGTTGTCCCTGAAGACCCCCGGGCTGGCTGGAGCCGGAGTCCTGGCAGGGCTGAGCCCCCTTGTGACCCCAGCCAAGTGGATAAGTGGAAAGGGGTAGAATAAGTCAGGGGTGTCAGATTTCGCAGGAAGGGTTTAGCTAAATTTTCTCATAGCAAAAATGAAATGCAAATATGTGCCGATCCAGATATAAATGAGTGTGGGTTGTTACTGGGTTTGTGAGAAATTCCCTTCGAAATGGTTCCCTGGCCTCAGTGGTGGGCTCCTTCCAGACATAGGTGCATGGATTCATTCACTTCTGCCTCACAATGCACAGACCACCTATGCGGATGTCTGATAAATCAGTGGATGGATGGATGGATGGACGGATGGGTGGATGGGAGAGCGGGTGGGTGGATGGGTGAATGGGTAGATACAAGTGTAGGTGAATGGAAGAGTGGGGGATTATTTTACAAGATTTAAAGATTCTTTTGTTGGAGAGACATGACACAACGGCACTCAGATAGATGAAAGGCAGAACTTTTTGTTAATTACTTCCCCAGAGGAGAGAAGTCTTCCAGGCAGGGCCGCACAGGGGCTGCACCTGGGGACAGAGTAACAGCAAGCAGGTGCTACCGGGAGAGCTTATGTACAGCAAGCAAGATGGGTCAGGCAGCTTTCTCAGGCTCGGGGTGGACTGGCTAATTTGAATCATTTTGTAAGTTCCAGGGTATAGGGGCTGTCCATATTTGTTTGGTACCTGGCCCCCGTGTGATTAGGGCAGGTGCATAGTGGCCCAGAGTGTGAAAGCCCGAGAAGGGAAGTGATGGGAGTGTGAACTTAGCTGTTCAAGAAGAATTGACCAACCGCCAGCCAGGATTTCAAAACTGGGTCAAGATAGCATCCCCCCCCACCCCCACCCCGCAAAAAAACTATATTACAGTGGTGGATGGAGAAGTGTGTAGGTGGACGATGCCTTTGGAGCTCTCTCTGTCAATAGTATTTACAGAAGCATCAGCACTGGATTCAGATCTTTGAAGATTTTTCATCTCGTAGAAGTAGAACCCTAGAATATGGGAGCTGGAAGGGACCTCACAAGGTCTGCCTCTCTCTCTCTCTGATGTCTGAGGGACTCAAGATGCTTTGGATCATAGAAGATCCTTTCAGTAATTTGACGAAGACTATAGATCCTCTATCCTGGAAAAAGCATAGAGCACAGTCCATGTTATAGGGCTGGTGGACACCAGGCAGCCTGTCCACAGAGCACTGCTCCCATCTAGGAAGTCAGAAACCTCAGATCAAGGAGTCCCAGCACCGTAGAACCAGCCACTGTGCAGAGGAGTCACTGAGACACCAGGTCAGGGAAAGGACCACATTCAAGTTTATGCAACCAGTTCACAGGCAAGTCAGGCCTAGATCCCAGGCCTCCCCGTTAACCCTTCTGGGACTCAGTTTCCCCGTATCTCTGACAATGGAGTTGGACTCAGTCGCTGGTTTGAAGACTTGGTTCAGAGAAGTTACAGGGGAAGGGGAGACGGCAGGTGGAGTTGTGACCCTCCCGTTTATTCCCCCAGTCCCACCGGACCCACGTCATCAGCTCTCTTTTGAAGGAAAGGCTTTAAGACTTTTTCCAAAAATGTTCGAAGGCCCCCATACTTCGCAGCTTCTAAGCTTCTGGGAGTGTTAAGTGCTGTGGACTGTCAGTTAGTCTCCAGAGCGAAGCTAAGAAAGCCAACCAGTGTTGAAGTGTGAGGAAACCACAGGCAAACATCCCCAAAGAAATGGCAGAGTCTCAGAGGCACAGATCCGGAAGTGTCACCAGAAAACAGGACAGGGAAAGGTGTTCTATCTCTGAAGACGTTTCCGAGTTTCTGCTGCCATCATCCCTTTGGAAGTATACATGGCATAAAAAAAATCAGAACTCCCCTGCCTCCCTGGCCACCCTTGTTTCTACCTTCTGCGTAAATGCGCACTGTTTTACACCTGAACTCGGACACAAAACAACCACACAGGGAAAAGAAATAATGATAAGCAATACATGTGCTATTAGACAAATGGATTCACTTGTGGAGTGTGTCAGCTACCTACCTCAATACCAGAAAGAAGAAAACTAGTATTTTAAGGGTCACCTGCTATGCATCCAATATTCACACCAAATTTTCATTTAGTTGAGAAAAGGGATGGGAAAGTGATTAAGAACAGAGTTTGGAGCCAGACTGCCTGGGTTCCTGGGAGGATTAGCTGAGTTAATGCATTTACGGGCTTTAAAAAAGCGCCTGCCACAGTAAAAGTTATATACACGTCAGGACTGTTGCTAATCCTCACCACTCCCCTCTCTGAGATTTTTCACCGTCAGCTACATTTCAGAGTTCAGAGATGTTAAGTCACCTGCCCGAGGTTTTTTGCCAGGAAAGCGGCAGCACGGAGACTGAAATCCAGGCTGACTTGGAGCCCAGAACGCGTTTGCCAATCCGAGCCTCTAAAGGGCAGGCTGTCTACACAAGAGAACATTCCATGGACTAACCTGGAAATCATCCATGCGGCTGGCCCAGCCCCCCAGGCACAGAGGGCAGCAGGAGCCCTGGGCAGATGCAGTTACCCTCTGTAGGGGGGATCTGTAGGTCTGGGATCTGGAAGCTGCAGCCAGCCTGGCTGGGGCCGGCGCTGGGCAGGAGCCGGAGCTCTGGTCTAGGCTGGAGGTGGAGGGAGGAAGTGCCCAGCATGGTGATGACATCACAGCCCAGCCCTTGAAAGATGATCTGTTCCCACTGCCACTCCAGCTCAGCTCCGGAGGCTCCTCGGAGGACTGGGGCCCTCGGGCAGCCCCGCTGGACCAGGGAGCTACGAAGTGCCCGCGTTTGTGCTCCGGACAAGGTGGGTGCCGGGCAGGGGCTGGTCCAGCCGCCTCACCTTCTCGGGGAAGGACAGGCAGACCGAACACAGAGGGAGGGCGGGCAGATGGGTGACATGGGGGCTGATTCCCAGGCTGGGTGAGAAGTTTTCCTCAGGTCCTAGGGAGTTTGGGAAAGTTCCCTTCCTTCCCTACAGGTAACAAGAAGGACTCCCAGCAAGAGAAATGTTCTTGTTTGTTCTAGGTTTGTCTTCTCCCTGAATGGAGGAGACAGACAGGCAGGTGTGTATTTATGTGAGTCATTTAGTGACCTGACTTTTGGGTGGATTCCTGCACTAAAGCAGAGAGGGTGGTAAAGCAGGGAAGGTGTGGGGTTTAGACTCAAGAATCTGGCTTTTCACTCACAGCCCTACCGCTCATTGGCCCTATGTGACCCTGGACAAGTTACTTAACCTCTCTGAGCCTCAGTTTCTCATCTGCAAAGTACCCTGCTCGCCTGCTCCCCGGGGCGGCTGGAGTTAATCAGACCACAGACGGAAGGGGGTTTGTAAAGGACGGCTGATGATGTGCGTTGGGGCGGTGGTGGTGATAACTCAGCTTCGCATCCCTCTTGTCTGGTCCTGGCTGTCCAGGATGGAGGGATAAAACAGTTTGTTTGTTCAGAGCGTGGGCTTTGCATCTAGTCCTGGGTTGGCACCAAGCTCTGCTCTCATCCCCTGGGTAATGTTTTTGAGTCCGTTTTTTTTCCCAGTTTCCTGAGCCAGAAAGCTGACCTGGCAGGATGGGGGGCAAAGACAGAAATGGGCTGATGAAGTGAAGTGTCGCATGTGCAGTAGGTGCTCAATAAATCGTAGCGGTTATCAGAGCTGCCGAGGGCAGGTAGTTTCCCCAGGCTGCGCCGGGGTGGGGGGTGGGAGTTGCTCTCCCAGGCAGGTGAGAATGTGCCTCCTTGAGTCAGGCTGCCTGGGGCTCCCACCAGTCCACAGGAAGTGGGAGCTCTGGCCCAGTAGTGGGCCATGGGGGCCCCAGGGCCAAGCCGCCTCTTATTCCTTCTCTCAGTGGGTGGCTGGGGGCAGGGTGAGTGACCCCACAGGACACTGTCCACCCTCCTTATCTGGAGGAAAACTGTTCTGTGTACTTCTGGGCCCTGGCAGCAGTCGGGGTGAAGGGGACATTCCACAACAGGAGCCCCACAAACTTGAAGGAGGAGTTCAGTGTTTTTCTCCCGTTCGGGACAGGAGTTAAGCCGGGGGTGGGGACGAGCCAGGAGAAGGGGATTTGGAGAACACTGCAGATGCAGGCTCGCACACTGGCCCCGTAGCCAGGAACCCAGGGTCTCATCCCAGCTCTGCCGGGAACTCACAGAACCCCTGCAGTCATGCGCTCCGAGGCCATCACAGAACACATGAGGAAACTGAGTCTCCGAGCCAGGACGTAACTGAACAAAGCCCTCTGCTCAGGGTCCGGGAAAGGCCTTGACCTGTTTGGGACTCAGGTCTGTCACTTATAGGAAGGTTCCGATGATTGACGAATGGTGAGACTAAAGACATGGGATTAGACCGAACTGGAGACACGCTGGCCAACGGCACCAAGCAGGGGAAAGAGCCGTGCCACGTGGTCTCTGCTAACACAGTGACCGTGCCTGGATAAAAAGTTCAGAGGGGATCCGAGGGTAACATTAATGGCTGCCTTTCTGACCTGTGCAGCCTTGGGGTCAGAGAGGGCACTGGAGATTGCCCTGCAGACCCACCAGGGGATTCTGGTTTTCAAAATCAAAGTAGGGATCATGTCTGTCCATTCACAGCTGGCTCGCCTGCACTGAGAACCGTGCCTACCATGAAGTGGGCACAGGTCAGTATTTGCTGAATGACTGAATGGTAGATGGGTGGGTGGATGGCTGGATGGGTAGATGGATGGATGGATAGCTGGATGGATGGATGGATGGATGGATGGATGGATGGATGGATGGATGAATAAATGAATACTGGTCACTTGGCAGGCACTAAAAGCACACAGAGCATGTTACTAAGTGAAAGAAGCCAATCTGAAAAGGCTACGTACTGTAGGATTCCTATTATATGACATTCTGGGAAAGGCAGAACTATGGAGACAGTGAAAAACATCAGTGGTTGCCAAAGTTGGGGGGAGGGGGGAATGAACACACAGAGCACAGAAGATTTTTAGGGCAGTGAAACTACTCTGCATGAAGCTGTAATGGCGGATACATGTCATTATACATTTGTCCAAACCCATAGAATGTACAACATCAAGAGTGAACCCTAACGTAAACCATGGACTTTGGCGATATGATATGTCAGTGTAGGTTCATTGATTGTAAGAACACAGCACTCTGGTGCAGGATGTTGATACGTGGGGAAGATTGTGCACAGGTGGGGTAGGAGGCATATGGGAACTCTCTGTACTTTCTGCACAATTTTTCTGTGAACCTGAAACTGCTTTAAAAATACAGTCTAATTTTTTTTTAAAGCACACAGTGCAGGACTGTGTGTTGAGGATTCAGAAGGCACTTAGGGAATCCCAGAGCCATGAATCAGATGATCAGAACTTCCTAAGACTCGATACTAAGACTGAGTACGTCACTTCCAACACCCACCCGGCCCAGGAATCCCCTGACTTCTTTGTGCACATGCTTCCAGGAACGGGGAGGTCACTATTGTACAAGGCAGCCTGCTCCATCTCGAGAGGGTTGTACTGTTAAAAAGTCCTTCCTTAGGGCTTCCCTGGTGGCACAGTGGTTGAGAGTCCGCCTGCCGATGCAGGGGACACGGGTTCGTGCCCCGGTCTGGGAAGATCCCACAGGCTGCGGAGCAGCTGGGCCCGTGAGCCATGGCCGCTGAGCCTGTGCGTCCGGAGCCTGTGCTCCGCAACGGGAGAGGTCACAGCAGTGAGAGGCCCACGTACCGCAAAAAAAAAAAAAAAAGTCCTTCCTTAGACTGAAGCTAAATCCCTCTCCCACTGAGCATTGGGCCACTTTCTATCTCTTGGAGTGGGACTGTATAATTCTCATCCCATGGGTCCTGCCTGAGCAAAACTTCCACAGCTCTTCAATCAAAATATACTTTCCAGAACAAACCCAAGAAGTAAAGTATTCCTTTGACTCTGGAATCTGCAGGGTTCTACAGGTTAGAAAAATGTGAACCCCCTCCAAAAAAAAATCATCGCAGCACAGAGCAGGGTGGAACAATTTGAAGGCTCTGCATTCAAATTCCGACTGTCTACTGATGGAGAGGCTCCTGAGCCTCAGTTTTCTCATCTGTACGATGGGGGTAGTCATTCCTATTTCTGAGGAGCATGGAGAGGTTTATCTCGGATGGTGCTAGGGCAGTGCAAACAGGGCCAGGCTTACTGCAGGTGCCCACTTAGCAGGCGGACGGCAGCAAGGACCTGGGACTACCAGAGGTGTTGTCTGCCCTGCAGTGGGGTCACTACAGCTTGGGGGTTCCCAGGGTGCCCCCGCATGCCCGCACTCATATTCCTAGGCAGCACACCTGTGGGTGGCAACAGCTGGAGCCCTGTAACTTTTCCCACTTCAGGTTTCCAGCCCACACGCCCCAGCGCCTCTAGGCCCCTCTGATTTCTCTGGCCAGTGGAGCTCTGGGAAGGCGGGCGCAGAGAACTGGCTTCCAGACCCCGATCCAAACTCGCTAGCTGGCTGAGCCTGCTCAGCGAGGTCGCTTTGCTTCTCTGAACCTCACGAAATCAGCAGCGCCTGTGCCAGACACCTCGTGGGGTGTCGGTAAACTGTAGAGTGCCAGGCACTTGGGCAAGCCCAGCGCTTCTGTGGCTGTTACTGTGCTGATGTGTACCTGTGACATCGTGTTCCCTCTTCTTTCTTTTGGGTCCCCAAGTGACCATATTCCAAGGGGGTGTGGCCTGACCGGGAAGACCAACCATGGACACACACTGCCTTTGCAAATGACTTTCTCGGGGGAGCAAATTTGAAAGGAACTCAGGCCCTGTCCCTGCCCTAGACCCCAAAGCCACCATCCCCAGATGCCTCCTCTTAATCTCCATGGCCGAAATTCAGGGCCCCCAAACCCTGGTACCCAGGGCTGTATCACCACCCCCTCCCGCGTCATTTCAGGAACCGACAGACACACTCTCCCTGAGAGCTCGGGGTCTCAGACAGCTCCCAGCCTAGCTCCCCTGCAGGTGGATTTGGGCCTCAGGAAGCACCAAGCTGTGTCCTGCCTCTCCCACCCAAACGAAATCCCCTCCAGGGAAAAGACTGAACCCAACCCAGCGTGCGGCACCTACTGTGAATACCTACACAGCAGGGGTGACACCCCGACGGCAGTAGGGAGGCCCTCTGGTCCTTCCAGAGCCTCTGAGATTGCGCCTTCCAGCCAAATGGGAAAGTAATCCCATCAAATAATGCAAGAAAAGGAAAGACAAGTTATAGGGAAAATTAGCTGATCAGTTACACCAGTTCAATTCTAAACTATGGCTGACAGATTGGTTGTATTGTGATTGTGAAGCTTCGTAACTGCTTAGGCAGGATACTTAAGATAGACATAAAAATGAGGAAATAATCTGGAACAAAAAGTTCTTATTATTTCAGCTAAATCTGCAAAGTAAGAAGAGAAAAAGAAGGGAGGAGGAAAAGTGTGCTAAAGATTTTTTTTAATTGAAGTATAGTTGATGTACACTAAAGATTTTATCTTAGCTGGAAGAACAGTTATTTTTCTATTCCTGATGCTAATAATGGATACAAACTTTAATATGTTTGTTAAAATTTTAAAAATAACCACTAGAAGAATTGAAGAGTATATATATATATATATAAAATTATACTATGTTATATTTGTAACATAATTATTATAAATTATGATAAATTAGCTTATATTGTATTCAACAAAGGAAATACATTCTAAGGAATATTTATAGAAATTGATTATGTTCTAGGCCCTAAAGAAAACCTTAATATAGTCCCAGATATAAAACTCTTACTGGCTGCATTACTTGACCATACTGTAGAAATTAATATGAAATATAGAAACTA